AAGTAGTTCATTATTAGTTCATTGGTAGTTCATCAGTAGTTCATTATTAGTTCATCACTAGTTCAACAGTAGTTCATCACTAGTTCAACAGTAGTTCATTATTAGTCCATCACTAGTTCAACAGTAGTTCATCACTAGGTCAACTAGTTCATTATTAGTTGATCATTACCTCATCAGTAGTTCATCATCAGTTATCAGTTCATCTGTAGTTCATTAGTTCATCACTAATTTATTATTAGTTCAACAGTAGTTCATTAGTAGTTCATTGTTAGGTCCTCATCCGTTCATCAGTAACTCATCATTAGTTCATTATTAGTTTTTCCAGTAGCCATCAGTAGTTCATCATCAGTTCATTATTAGTTCATCACTAATTCATTATTAGTTCATCAGTATTTCACCAGTTCATCAGTAACTCATCAGTTCATCCTCAGTAACTCATATTTTGTTCATTATTAGTTAATCAGTAGTTCATTATTAGTTAATCAGTAGTTCATTATTAGTTTATCTGTAGTTTGTTGGTAGTTCATTGGCAGTTCATCAGCAGCTCTCTGGACTTTCTGAAGGTCTTTCAGAGATTTTCTTCAGATTTTAATTTTTCTTCAGAACTCTGTGCTAGTTCACTCTTTAATGACCAGCTGCTGAAAACTCCACGTCATGATGCTGCCACCACCGTGCTTCTTCATGTAAAGATCCGCTAAACTCTGATCGGAGGATCGTTCTGGAATGAAACGGCCCCTAAACTCAATAAATAATTTTGTGTTGTTGTGGTTCAGACTGTTACTTCCTGTCCCGGCTCTGAACTTCCTGTCTGTGCCGTCAGGTATCGTCGTTGCTCATTACCTTCAGTCCGTCACGCCGGCTCTGGCTCTGGGAGGGGAGCTGGTTTACCACCGCCGGCCGGGAGAGGAAGGCTCCGTCACGTCTTTGGTGGGCAGGTACTCAGGTGGGTCTCCGGTAACGCCTGAGAGAACCTCACGACTCCCATCTTTAATCTGTCCCTCCGTACAGGCAAGAACTACGTTGCCACGGTAACCCTCGGCTCAGCCGGAGCTCATGCGTCGTACTACCATAAAGCCAACGACCAGGTGAGCTCACCTGGACGGGTCTGGTAACAGACGTGCGCCAGTTTCTTTAACGGCTGTAAAACAGTTGATCTGTTCAAGCTTCATAAAACAACAGATTAAATTTATGACCAAATGTTCCATAAACGTTATTTAGCTGGATTAAAGTCTACAGGTGACGTCAGAATGACCTCTTCTTGGTGACTCAGGGGTTTGCTAATGTGGCTCCCTTTGACCTTTGACCCCAGAAGGTGTGACGTCTCTGTTCTGCAGCTGCAGGTGGGCGTGGAGTTCGAGGCGAGCGCTCGGATGCGGGACACCAGCGTGTCGTTCGGCTACCAGCTGAACGTTCCCAGAGCTGATCTGGTGTTTAAAGGTACGGCGGGAAAATCCTGCAGAAGCTCTTTAAATCTTTTATCAGCTGCCGTCCCAGCAGAGTCACCCCGAAGGTCAGACAGTGCATCTCAGACTCTACAGGCCTCAGTCAGCAGGTCAAAGGTCATGACCTCCTCTCTAAAAACAGCATGAAGGAACCACAAGACTCCTGGACCAGTACCAGACCTGAGGACAGAAGTTTACCCAAAATGCACTGCAGCTGTCAGCACGGTGGTGCAGGGATGATGGTTCGGGCTCCTGCCAGTCCCTGAGTGGACCAGAACTCCTCTGGAGACCAAACATGAGTTCATCTGTCCAACAGCTGAAGCTTGGACCAAACTGGGTCCATCAGAACCATGATCCCACACACAGCAGATTTGAACCAGTGACCCTGACCCTTTTAGAGGATGTAGTCGGCCATATTAGACCATCAGGTTCTCCTCGTGACATTGTCCCCCCTCGTCTTTTAAAAGAGGTGTTTTCCAGCATCAGGCAGATGATTCTTGCTGTTATCAATAGCAGTCTGTCCTCAGGTGTTGTCCCAATAAGTTTTAAACATGCTGTGGTGCAGCCCCTGCTTAAAAAGCCTAGCCTAGACCAAACTGTCTTGGCTAATTTTAGGCCCATCTCCAAGCTGCCTTTTATTTCAAAAGTTTTAGAAAAAAATGTATATTCACAGGTCAAATGTTTTCTGGATGAGCACAATATCCTGGAGGTTTTTCAGTCTGGCTTCAAAACTCACCACAGCACAGAATCAGCTCTAGTCAGAGTTTTTAATGATATTTTTATGGCTAATGGTTCTGGTGAACATGTGGTTCTTGTCCTGCTCGACCTAACAGCTGCCTTTGATACCGTGGACCATAACATTTTAATATCACGCTTACAGCGCCAAGTGGGTATCTGTGGTACTGCACTGAGCTGGTTTAGGTCCTATCTGGCAGACAGAACCATGTCTGTCAACATAGCTGGGTCTGAATCCTCCACTGCTCCTCTTGTGTTTTGGGGTTCCACAGGGCTCTATTTTAGGTCCCCTGCTTTTCTCCCTTTACCTGCTTCCATTGGGATCAATCCTTAGAAAGCATGGGATCTTTTTTCATTGTTACGCTGACGACAGTCAGATCTATATGCCACTTAAAAAGAAAGATGCCCCCTCAATTAGGCCACTTCTGTTGTGTCTTGAAGACATCAAAGCCTGGATGTCTTTAAATTCTTAAATTTCAATGAAAAGAAAACAGAAGTGATGGTGTTTGGTCCTAGTGGCTCTTGTGAACCTTGCTCTGTTGATCTGGGCCCTCTGGCACCACATGTAAAGAAAACTATTTCTAACTTGGGTTTTAAAATGGACAGTGATTTTAAATTAGAGTCCCAGATTGGAGCGGTGGTCAAGACCAGTTTTTATCACCTCAGACAGCTGGCTAAGGTAAAGACCATCCTTACAAAACAGCAGCTGGAAACAGTAATCCATGCCTTCGTCACCTCTCGGCTGGATTACTGCAACGCTCTTTACCTTGGAGTCAGCCAGTCCTCCCTCAGACGCCTCCAGTTGGTCCAGAACGCTGCTGCTCGGCTTCTAACTGGAGTTCATGAGAGGGAGCACATCACCCCCACTCTCCACTGGCTGCCCGTTCATTTTAGAGTTCATTTTAAGATTCTTTTATTTGTTTTTAAAAGTTTAAATGGTCTTGCTCCATCCTACCTCTCTGAGCTGCTTCACCCATACTCTCCTGCTCGGTGCCTCAGATCAGCTGATCAGCTGCTCCTGGAGGTGCTGAGGTCTAAGCGGAGGCTCAGAGGGGACAGAGCTTTTTCTGTTGCTGCTCCAAGACTGTGGAACGATCTCCCTCTTCCCATCAGACGAGCTCCTTCACTGTCCAGTTTTAAAACTCTTTTAAAAACACATTTTTACTCCCTGGCTTTTAGCACACACTGAATTTGATCTGTACTGTTTTTATTATTTTTATTGATCTTAATGTTTTAACAACTGTTTTTATGTGTTTAAATGTTCTTGATTTTATATGTACAGCACTTTGTGGCAGATGTGGTTGTTTTAAAGGGCTTTATAAATAAAGTATATTATTATTATTATTATTATTAGCAGCTGATCTACAACAGAACGGGTCAGAAAGACCAGAACCAATGGTCCAGTCAGAGTCCAGAACCTGAACCTGACCGAGATGTTGTGGTTGGACCTTCAGAGAGCTGAACAGAACCCTCAGTGATGGAAAGAAGAGCGGGTCAGAACTCCTCCAGAACCAGAGACTAACAGAAACTCAGAGTTCTGGTTCTGAAGGAGGTTCTACGGGCTGCTGGACCCAGTTTTTCATATTTTGTTCAATGAATCAAACCTTTGAAGGAACATTTTGACTTTTTGATGTTTGTTCTGTTCCCGCCCCGACCTTCAGGTTCTGTCGACAGTGACTGGGTCGTCGGCGCCACGCTGGAGAAGAAGCTCCTCCCCTTGCCGCTCTCCCTGCTCCTCTGCTCCTTCCTGAACCACCAGAAGAACAAGGTCCAGTGCGGCTTCGGCATCACCGTCGGTTAGCGCGCGTGAGATCCCGACCCGTTTGGACCGCCGCTCCAGCTTCCTGTTCGTGCTGACCTTTAACCCCCGAGTGCAGAATGTGACGGGGTCAGAGGTCACTGTGTGTTAACGGTTGTCCCTCAGCTAAAGGTCGGCCTCCTTCGGCTGTTTGTTTTTCTTTAGCCTTTTTCACGATAAAGCGTCTGTATGAAGTGTAAACATTTTTTATCAAAGCTTTTTGTTACTTCCTTCTTCAGAAAATGTTTGTGACGCTCGAAGCTCCAAAGAAACAAACATTTCATATTTAATTTAACAAACTTTGTTTTAATTTGACCTCATTCTAACACTCGGCGCCTCCTGCCAAGAGTCGGCCCGTTTGGGTCGAACTTGAAATGGGTTCTGTCGTCCCTCAGGCTGACTCTCAGCTACTACCACCTCAGATCTGTGTCTGCAGACTCACCCACTTTTAGGGTTCGTGTTTACATTTGACTCTTTCCTGGAAGTTTAATAAGATCCGTCCGTCCACAGGGGGGTCACTGTACGAGAGGCGGGGACACCTGGACAGGTCCATCCCAGGGACACCCTGGGGACAATTTAGTTACCAATCAGCCTAACATGCATGTTTTTGGTCTGTGGGAGGAAACCCACGCAGCACGGAGAGAACATGCAAACTCCACTCAGAAAGGCCTCGGCTGGGATTTGAACCAACAACCTTTTTTGCTGAGAGGCAACAGCTCTACCAACTGATCCACTGTGCTGCCTAAATTATAGATTATTTTAATTAAATAATCAAAAGAAAGGGCAGCACGGTGTCCCCGTGATGGACTGGAGACCTGTCCAGGTGTCCCCCGCCCCTCGCACAGTGACTGCTGGACACGGGCACCAGTGACCCAGAAATGAAACGGGTAAAGATAGAGGATGGATGTGTGTGTGGATGGATGGATGTGTGGATGGATGGTTGGGTGTGGATGGATGAATGGTTGGATGTGTGGGTGGATGGTTGGATGTGTGGATGGATGAATGGTTGGGTGTGGATGGTTGGA